ATATATATATATATATATTAAAAAACATGTCTGTTACAAATGCAAAACAGGATTTGTCTGAGTATAAATATGGAAAATGACAGAAGGTCTTCTACTGTCACACTGAAGTAGCAAATTGACAATATCCTGCGTGCTGTTTTTACAATGGGAATAAAGTCAAAGGTGAGAGAATGATGTCAGGTTAAGTTATACACAGCCATGCATGACAGAAGAAAGCAAATCAAGAACTTCAAGAAACGAAAACTGTGTATAACCTCAAAGGAGGGGACCTCTTTCCAAGCTGAACAGTTGAGTCCAGTGACTTATCTTCGAACCCTAGAGCCTCACCAATTGTAAATACTCCCCAAATGCACAAAATGTCCAAGTCATACAAAAGATACAGGACAATTCAATTTAGTGGTCAAACAGCACTGACTGTCATGTCTCTGAAGACTGTCACTCATCCACATCAAAGGCAGTAAAAGTCAGATGGATTTGCTGTGAGCTTTGTATCTGCACTGCACAGTCATTTTCCCTTTAATTCAATACTAAAGGTTAAGAATGCTGTATGATATCTATACTGCTTATATGTATACTACACTAAAATAGCGTCTTTAAGTTGAAGTCGATCAGAAGCAGAGCAGCCTTGGCTTTAATGAGTGTAGTAATTAAGGCTTGGATAACACATTATTATTTCTCTCTAGACTTCTGCTGATACAGGTAGATCTGTGCTAGGCAAACAGGAGTGTCCCGTAGGCCTTGTTTCTGTTTTATTAGTTTGTAAAGACTGCGTGAAGTGATCATGACTTGAGTATTTTGTTGGGTTAGTAATGAATCATACCGGCTTTCTGTTGCAAAGTTCTGCAGAATATTGACCGCTGTGTTCTCCTGCTCCTTCTTTGGCTTTGAGACGCACACCATGAGGTTCCTCACTAACCTTTGCATTCAGATAAGAGCAAAGGCAGATAAACAAAGAGAGAGGGAGAAGATATTACTAAAGGAAATTAATATTTTGTTCCCACATAATGATGGCGTTTAGCCTGGGACCAACAACTGGGATAATAATGCCAGAAATACTTTGATAATAAAAATCGCTCTTTTTACATTTTCTGAAAATCTGCTCAGCCGCAGGTATACGGGTAGCAAAACAAATTGTTTGGGCTGCTCAGAGTTAACAGAGCAATGACAGAACAAAAGTTCTTGAAATATCATTAAAATGATGTCGCACCTGGAGTGACAATAACAAACATATTACCCGAGGCTAGACTAAAGTCCCTCCACTGCAGGGAGGAGGTAAAAGAGCATTACTGTTTCTGTCTATATAATATATAATTCCCTGTCCCTGCAAAGCGATTGACTATGGTGGACAATAACTGAATCTTCACTCCAACTGAGTCATCGCTAGTGGAATCTCCCGACAACATAAAGTAATATCTTACATGTTCAAATCAAGGCTCTCAATGGCCAAATGTCTGCCACGTGGTATCTCTGAGTACATCGACAGCAGTGCCAGACATTCTTTCGCCACTTCATCATGCTCCGATGAAGCCAAATGAACAATGGACTGTGTGGCGACCGGACATGTCATCAACAGCTTCTGGTTTTCATCTGAAAGCAGTGGAAAAACAAAGAAGAATAAAGAGACAGATACACTAGACACAGTGGTCCCATTGTCAGTTCCCAGTAAACAACAACCTAGTTTTAATGAATTTAGCATTGTATTATTAATCCTATGTTGATAATGAAGGTATTTATATTACAAATACACAGTGTGTAAAAATGATCAAGGCTTGCACAAAATGCTAGACATTCCATGTGTCACCCATCTGTAGTTTGGGCGATTAAGCACAAAAAACATGTTCAACAAAATACTGACAAGATGTGCATAAAGACCACAATACCAATTTAGAGGTCAACAGTATTGTTTTCTTATTTTCCTTCTAAATCGGTGACAGTAAAATGATACATGGACAGACACTGAAGTGTACCTCAGTTGTCAACATACCATTTCCACAACAAACTCTCCTCCATATTTTAAAAACAGACACACACAGCTCAAGACTCTCTGGATCATTTGTTTTCTCCAACAGGCAACTGCAGAGAAATTATACAAGCAATGTGAGTATGTCAGTAAACATAAAACCCAGTTGCCAAAGACAACATAGCGGATAATTTTATATGAAACAACCCTACTGCAGAACAGTGTTTATTTTTTTAAAAAGGCACTCACAAAACAAATATTCTTTCATTTTTTAGATTCAGCTATATATGTAAAAGTGAAGAGCTTGAAAGACACCTTGAAATAAAAAATACTATATTTAGCATAAAATGTAACTTTGAAGAACTCTAGACCTTTTTTCCTGCTTATCTTTAACTCTCAGAAATGACCAAGAGCACCCAAACTCAGAGTGCCCCTTCAATTTGTTAGGACAGGCCACAATGGCACTGGCTTTTCCTGCTTCGTGGCTCACATAGGTGTTAGGTGATTTATCTGGCTCACACCAGCAGCCTTACTGAGTATTTCCATCAAGCTCAGACTGCAGTTTCTTTGCACCCTCTGCTTCCTGGACACTGTGTCCCAGCTTGAAAAAGGATATTGCTAACAATGGACTGCATTGAAAGCATGTGACAAGTTAATAATAACCTTACTGATCTGAAACGAGGGAGTCATAATTTGTATCTTGTACAAAAACACACCCTCTTTCTGGGACAGAACGGGGGCCATTGCTTATTTCAGCACTCATCTCAATCTCTAGTGTGATCATCTTTTCTTCTCTGGGCTTTCATAGAAACAGCTGAGGAGGGAGAGGGGGCGGTGAATGATCTCTCGAGTTTATGCCATCATTGTCTCTGTATGCCCCTGCCTCTAAGTCCATCTGTCAAAGCTCCACCGAGGGCTGACTGCTACCTCTCCCTCTGGTCTCCTTACCTTCTCACCGTGACATTGCTGGCGATGATACTAAAGCCATTGTTCAGCCTGAAAAGGGTCTGCCCTGTACCTGTTTGAAGAGAACAATATATGGTGTAAGAAGACGGAAAGCAGTGGAACATCATCAGGCAGCTTAGAGATTTTGCAGACGCACCTTTTTCACTGGCTGATTTACAGTCAAGGGCAGGAATGAAAAATACATAAAACATGTTAAGAGACTAAAGCAAAGTAAGAAACAGTTTATTATCTAATACCAAAGAAGACGAAGTAAAGCAGAGCAGTGAAGGAGTACTTTTAGGGGGAAAAGCTTGTAATGTCAGCCCTGCTGAGATCCTTTCAGTCGTAAGTTATGTAAGTTTTGCCCTTTTCTGTTGAATGGCACTGTAAGACAGGCATTATATCATTTGACATGACACTTTTATTCTTCTAATGAAGAAAAAAGTGAAATTTGATAAGAGATGTTTGCCATTTGGCAGACAATACCCAGGGCAACATAACATCCTATGTTACAAACAGTCATACAAGTTAACAAAAAAAAGAAAGAAGAAGAAGTAGAGAGAGTTACCATTTCATTTTGATGTGCTTTACCTTCTTATGGTTTGCTGAGTGGTGAACTTTAAACATTATTAGTTTCATCAGCCTTGCCCCTGCAGTCAAAATACCTGAAAATTTACAATGCAGGTAGCAGAACACTCGATGCAGTTCATTACCATGTCATTGCCACATGTTTAAAGTATAAGTAGACAAAAAAACAAACTTCAGATGGAGCCACTGACCTTGGCGAGTTATACTGTTACAGTGCTGCTATTGAATAAAAAAAAACTGCCATTTTTGCCTTGTGGCAATAACTAAAAAGAGTTACATTAGTAGCATGGACTTTCAAAGTTATTTGGCAGGTCAAAAACATTCACAAAAATATCACCAGCTCAAATAGGAAGGGTGAATCACCCAGTGAAGTTCAATTACTCCCTGTCCACAGTGGCCCCTTTTCAGACTGCAGAGGACTTGGTAAACATATCGGTTATTTTGCAGCCTGAGTGTATCATTGTCAAACAGGAACATGGGGTGAAATAGTGGTTGGCCGCCCAATTCCCTACTTCACCCAAGAAGAAATCAGGCCCATAAGAGTGTGTTCCTGCCTATCTAAAACCTTGAGAAACAAGCTCTGTGCTACCACCAAGCAAAAGGAATTAGATATGTTTCTTTCCAACAGCTCACTTCTTGCACTGAAATGTATATAAACATGCCATTTTGAGGCCCATGTCCATGGAGAGTGCCCGGGGCCAGGCTGTCACAAATCTAGTGTGTCAATGGAGAAGTTCCAACATTCAGTAGTGACCGACAGGACAGAGTGAAATAATGCTGCTGAGCTTAGTAAATGGACAAGTTCTATCATGGATGCTTTGTTAAATATTGCACTAAAGCTGCTCCACCAGGCACAGTAAAACAAAAAGGAAAAAAAAAAACTTCTGTCTGTACTAGACGCTAAAGAAAGTTTCAGAGTGGCAATTCCAGGATTTTTATATAAGGAAATCCTGAAAAGAACCAGTGAAGAAGAAATGAAAGATTTTCACAGAAGTGGCACTGCACAAAAGCCTGAAAATTATTTATTGAATAACAGTTTCACATGTAAAGGTGGATATATCATTTCACTGTTGAGGGACAATAAACAGGAACATTTTTCAGTTTCTAACAAAAGTACTGTTGCTTTATATGTAGAGTTATAAGAAAAATAACGTTTTCACAAGACTCTGCAGACTGGGCAGTCCTGTGAAAAAACAATAATTCAATAGCTTGCATGTAGCTTTCGTTGATTGAGATGAGGTTTTCTCGTGGTAACCCTTCCAGACAGTAAAATTTCTCTAATTTTACTGTCATGAAATTTAACATTTAACATGCTAGTAATGCTCTCGGATGTAGCTATCAAGCTTCTTGCAAGTTACAGGACTGCACAGAGGTCCTGAAAACTTTCTTTTTCGTGACTATATATAGAGGATTTCAGCACTGCTATGATTAATTCTCTTCTATTTTAACTGAGCCAGCATCCTGACAAAATAAATAAACACAAATAACACAAACACAGCAGCAACCGAGGTAGATGTAGTTTTTCAAAGAAAGCAAACCTCTGATGTCTGTACCGTCAAAATCTAAAAGTGCAGAACGTTACGAGGCCTGTCGGAAAAAATACTTAATTTTTAAACATACTGTAACGGTGTTTTTAATGAAGCAATTCATTGTTTATTTATAGATTCAAGAACAAAACTGCATCACTCTACAAGCAGGATGAAAAAGGAATATACAGTACTTAAAATTAATGAATTATTTTTTTAATTAACCAATATCTTGATTAGACATGTCTCTGGTAGAAAACACAAAAAATAGCTGGAAATTCAATCATTTAAGAAAATTTTTGATTTAAAATAAAAGTGAAAATGCATTTGGACACATGTCCTTGGCCAATATGGAATCTGGATTGATATTAATGCACTGATCATTATTAAATAAACTAAGGAACAATGTCTGGCACGTCTTTCATTTTACATTAACGTCTGCGAAGCTGATACTTAATGGACATCAGCCACCATTTACACACTTGCTCCACTGTCACTGGTACCAAAGACTAATGGTGCAGGACTTCATGGATGGTAAGCATTTAACCTACCATGAAGCAATCCTGCAAAACTTAAAAAAGCATTTTTGTAATTAGCACAAGCTTTTAGAGCATATTATTGTAATCTCTTTTTCTGCTTCAAGTCTTCTTATCCAATCTAGCCTGAAATCCGTTTTTTGTTTGTTTGTTTGTTTGTTTTTTGTCATAAAACCAACAAATAGGTGCACCGGAGACGCAGTCTACCAAGAAAAAACTGAAAACAGTGATTAAAGGAGAAACACAATTGTTTGAACACTCACAGTCAGTAAGTGCTTGTGACAGAATCTCCAATCCTCCGCAGTAGTAGAGGGCAATCTGACCGGGTTTTGACAGCTTCTCCAACAGCTCCACCACTGTTGTGGCCTTCCTCTTCCCCTTGTCAAACTCTTCCCTTGCCTTTATCTCCTGAGTCTCTTTCTCCTTTCCCAAATCAACCTGGGTCAGGTATTCTGCAAAGGAGAACAAAAGAGAATGGAGAAGCAAGAAGAGAAAGTAAGTTATTCCATAGCAGTAAGTGCAGCTGCCCCTATCTGAGAAGAGTCTCCTGTGGTGCATCTGTCAACCTGGCATGACTACCACACCCACCACCTGCTATTAATATTCACTCAAATAGAAAGAGGTCACTTGCCAATGTATAAGAAATGTATTGGTACATCACATATGACCTAATAGCCCAAATAAGAAAATAGCAAAATCAGTGTAAAACACTGAACTTGATGCATCATATGCATTAAAGTAACAAAGTGCAGGAAGGTTAGGTTCTATCTGGGAATAAAACAAAATAGAGCACAGTGCTAGTTCAGATAAACCAGGTCAGGCCACATAATCCCAGGTCACATCAGCTTAGGTCTCAGCTGGTACCATTATATGAATCTGATCATCAAATCTGGTACAGGTCCCACTACTTAAGTTGCTTTAGTTAGCCTAAAGTCAATTTGCCTCAGGAAGTCACACTGCAACCCACCTCCACTCAAGCTCCTCCTTTTCAAACTATTTCTGATCTAACCAGTGTCTAATCTTTTGTCACTGACAGGATAAGACATGAGGATGTCTCACTGCTGCTCTTCCTGCCTCGGTCATTGTGCACATACCATATGTGTTAGGGGCAGGGACTTCCAATAACGTGTGTAAAAGTAGGGCCCCAAGAAAGGACTCATACTGACTCATACAGTTCAAATCACAAGTTTTTAAACCCTTTCTATTCTTTTACATACAACTCTACTCTTTTGGCCCGGTAAGCATTTTGCCATCTTACCATCAGACTGAGAACAAAGAGTCCTGTATGCTAAAAAATACTGCTTAACCCTTTAATTACCTGATTAATATTTCATGTGGATGGATATTTCATCACTTAAATGTATTTTTTATTTTAAATCAAGGATGGCACAGCGGGGCCGTTTTAAGTACTGTCACCTCACAGCAGGAAGGTCCTGAATTCAAATCCACAATCCAGCTGATGCCTTTCTGTGTAGAGTTAGCATGTTCTCTCCCTCTGTGTGAATTCTCTCCAGGTAATCTGGCTTCCTCCCACAGACCAAAGGCATGCATGTTACAGTAGGTTAACTGGTGATTCTAAATTGGCCATAGGTGTGAATGTGAGTGTGAATGGTTGTCTGTCTCTATGTGTTAGCCCTGTGATAGACCGAGATAGACTCCCAGCTGCCACAGGGTGCTACCCTGACAAGTGGAAGAAAATGAACGGATGCATTCTTCCTCTAACTGTCATGTTTTTGAGGAGTATGATGGCTTTATATTGTTAGGAAAACATATGACTCTTTTCACAGAATAATTAAGCAAAGTATAAAAAAAACAAAATATTGTGGATGTTTTTCAAAGAAAAACGTAAATGTGTGCTGTACCCATCTTAAAACAGTTCTGGATGATACATGACCAAAGATGGTGATTTTCATTGGACCTTTTCCTAGCGTAGTCCATGGGAAATAGTTCTTTACCTTTCACTATTTTTTCCTTCCCAGGTTGAATTTCTTGTATCTTTTCAAAACAGCCTCTTGCCTAAAAAAGGAAAAATGTTCTGCATCACTTTCTATATAATGTGTTTCAATCATGTACTAAAGACTCCAGAAGATTCTAGACTCAGCAGAGCTGGTATACAGTTTGCAAAAAGCCACAGTGCACTTTAATGTGATTCATACAATAAATCTTGCTTTACTGGTTATCTGTGTTAGATGTAATCCTATTTTGGAATAAATAAATTGAAATAATTTGAAATTAGATTTACAGATGATTACTGTGAGTCCACATTATCTTAATCAGAAACATATTTATAATTTCTTGAGAATTCTTATTATCTTTCTACTTCAGGCGTACAACTGTAATGAGAGGTATTCTTACTCACCTCGTTATATTTCTTCAATCCCAGATATGCTTTACCCATGTGTAGATAAGCCTTTATGCACCTCTCATTACACTGGCAGAAATGAAATAATCATGGGATTACTTAATAAACCTCTTCATCTACATAATGGTCGTTTAATGACTCCAGCACACTTGCACAGTAAGAAATAAATATTCAACCTGACTTTCAGACACACTGCACTGGAGAAAATTGCATGAACAGTTTACAGAGCACATCTCCCACCCAAAAATTGTGTCTTTGACATTCTGGGGAAGCATAAAGAAAACATTATTCTGAGGATATTACCAAATTAAACCAGTTTTTCAAACATCCCAGTTTCTTTAGAGAATATTTCTAAACTGCTGGTGAGCTCACTAGACTTCAGTATAACACATGCGGCAGACCTTACCTTTAGGGCCCATTCACAGTCACTGACGGCCTCATTGTACTTTCCCAGTTTAATATAGGCCTACACAGATGTAAACATTAGACAGGACATTTTGAAAGGGAACATAATGATTTTACAATTTCACTGCAGATGGTAACAAAGATTCTAAATTTAAAATCTCTAAAGTTCTGTTTCACAGATGCCTAATGCACTCTGTGTCCACATAAACACACAAAAGCATCTCTGCTCTGTTTCCCCTTGAGAAAAAAGGGAAGTCTGTGTTTTCATTGTAAAGCATAGATTGAAGATATTTACTTGAGCTCTGTTTGTGTACAGCGGCTGCATATCTTTGATTTCAGCCAAACCATCGCTGTAATACTTTACAGCAGTTTCATAGTCTTCTTGAGCATAAGCTTCATTCCCTTTGTCCTTGAACGCTGCAGGGATGGATACAAGCAGTTACATTTAAAAAGGAAACACTGTCAGCTCAGCAGAGCAATGACTATAGAGAAATGCTCATCTACAACAGGTGAACCCTCTGAAGTCTGATTCATCACAGGTGATAACCCTAATCCTGTATTTTGGAGAAATGCAAACTGCAAAGACACACAAACAATAAAAACACATATATTTTGATTGCTTGGAGTTCGAATTAGACCTCTGAGGGTTTGGTAGCTAAGTTTCACAAACCGATAGCCTTTTTCGCATTTGCAGCTTTCCGAACTCTCCTTTCTTCTGCATCCATCTCCATAATCTTTATGAAATTCTCTGATCAAAACAGAAATTTAAAAAATAATCTTAAGCATGAGTACTACAAAGGAGGAAAAAGTCAAAAAAATGCCATTTTTAATGAGCACAGTATGAAGAGAGTTTGCACACCATTTAAATAAACAAAATCAAACCAACGCTGTCTGAGAAGCTCTGTTATTTTTAAACTGCAGTCGTTTTAGAAAGTCATTATTAGTAACTACACAGATCCAGACAGTGTGCAGAGTGTGTGTTTATAATGCAAAGAGGGTTCACACAAAGCTAGATATTCTCTATAAATAAGAGCCAGAGAAATTTAAAATCTGTTTTGCTTTCTCAGCCCCGAGCACAAGATTATTTTTCTTACTCATCATGAATTCAGTGTATGGTGTGTTAATTTCAATATTAGAAGATTCACACACAGAGGTGTGAGTTTTTTTACACATTTGAAGCTTAACTGTTAATGAGTTTTACCCCCGGGTGACTTGAAAAGAAGTGCCGGCTGAAAAGCTGTTTTAAATGGAATATCACATTCAGGGTGCTGGGTTCAGTGGGATGTCATCACAGCGCTTCTCACTATATAAAAATACTGTACACTAGCCTAGAGATTACTCCTATTTGCATATGTTTAAGCAGTAAAACTGATGATGTAATGCAAGTCCTTGGTGAGCTAAACAGTTAACAAGGCTCCTTGACTAAAGGGCCTCTAGACAAATCAACTCAAAGAACATCACTGATTTCGAGTCATTCATATCCTCTAATGCATGGTAGTTCATGGGAGGAATAAATCATTTATGTTATTTATTAATTTATCTTTGAAAAATGGATACTAGTTCTTGCTTCTTTGGTTGAAATATTTCATTATTGGGCACAGTATCAGTGTGCTTTCAATCACTGCAACTGACAACCACAGAGACATTTATTTTCATTGTGGCTCACCTGGAGTTTCAGTCTGAGGAGTCTGTAAAAGAAGAAAAAAACAATTTAAAAAACAATAACAGTAGCAAAGAGGTCAAAACCTACTCACTGCTTAATGTACACCGTGTTCTTTTTCTTAAAGAACAAGAAAGAACAAGGTGGATAACACAACAAGAAGCTGTTTGTAGTGTCTGTAGTGTTCCTGCCTGAGGGTCAGAGAGTGGATGAGAGACAGAGAAAGATACAAGGAGTTGTAGACTAAGACACATGCTGTTGACTGCATGCATGTCTTTACTATGGAAGGAGGGAGTGGCAGTGGGTTTGTGTTGACTGTCATCTTGTTGATTTTGGTTCTGCAGGGCTCTGCCAAGGAAGTGATGTAGCAATCAGCTTTTTCCATTGCTTTTTGTTGGGCTTCAGCATCACAAGACCTTAGGTCCTCCACAAGCTGACCTGAAAAGAATTCAAAGAAATAGAGAGATCTTTTCCAAGAGGCTTTACTTTGGCATTTGAAATAGGGCTAAAAGTAAAGAAATAGCTCAACAATCTACACCTTCAAACCAACAAAGTTCCCAGTAGCACAGAAGTATACACTACATTTGCGTTTTGAGCTCAATATTTATTGAACACAATAGTTTTCTAGCGTTTACAGCTAATTAACTTAGCAAAATGGGTACAAGAGAATAACTTTGTGTTAGCTAATATCGTTAGCAAACTATACTTCTACCATTACTCACTTATTTCATCAACATTCTTCAGAAAACTTTCGATGTCTTCAAGTTTCTCCATTGCGTGTTTGTCCGTTTTAGACAGCTTTTGCTGGATTCTAAGACACGTGGCTCCGTTTTATCTCAGCAAGACGCTGAATGTACTTCTCCCTCAGGTTTCAGCGTTGAGTTACCATAGCAACGTGATGCCTTCAGGCCCCCCCGTAAACTACACAAGTAAGCTATGTCATAAGTATGCCAAGAAGAAGCCGGAACAAACAGCGAAAGTAAATAACTGGGGCTTTTTAACTACACTACTTTTAGCTAACTACTCTGGGTTATAAATGCGGGACAAATTTTAAAGAAAAAAAAAGGGTAATTCTTAACTAAATCAAAACTGAATCAAAATAGCACTGAGACTTGTCTGATTCATTGTGAATGTAAGTTAGTTCCGTCATGGTTATGAATGCGGTATTTAACATATTTTTATCACTAAAATAAGTGCATTGTGTTACATAATTATGTTTATGTTTCTTTAATCGCCGATTAGAGGAAGTATCTGAAGGCAGCACTCACTACCATAGAAATTAGTAGTCTTTTTAATTAATTATTATTATTATTCCAATGAAAAGAAAAAGAAAATATTTATTCTTATTATACCAGCAGCTGCTGTAGTACTACTAGTGATGAGTTCGTGCCATTACTCCTCTAAGGAGTAAATATTATGCTGTAAATTGCCCCTCATACATTACATATAACGACAGAGGGCTGTGAATTCTGCAGAGACCTTGTATATTATCGCAATAGGAAACCCCGTCGTCCATTTTTCTCTACAGTGGAGCTAAACTGCCTCCTTGTGGTTGAAAACACATCTATCCAAATATGTTGTCCGTCTAGCTGTCCATTTATAGTGCTGTGGGTCTTTTATTATTCCTTTGTATGTACTGCATTCTTTTCATCTTTAATTAACTACAGAATATTCAAAATAGTCTTAATGAAGAGACTAAATCCGTTCTTAAGTTTCATCCTTCAACCAGTCAAAATAGTCAGGAATAACAAAATGTTAAAAAAAAAAAAAAAACAGTGCCCCCTTCTTGAATTTTTTTTACATATATATGTCACACTTACATGTGTCAAAGACATTTTAATAGACAAAGTTTAACCCAAATAATACGAAAGAACAGTTTTTAAATGAGGATTTTAAACAAGTCACAGTGAGAGCCAGAGCAGAACAGCATCTAAAACTGCATTCCTGAATTTCCTCACTTGAGTTGAGAGTTCAAAATTCAATAATAAGAAATAAATTGAATAAATTAGCATGTATGGGATAGTTCCGATAAGAAAACCACTGCTGACCGGAAAGAGTCAAAGGCTCATCTCACATTTGACAAAAAAAACATCTTGATGAGGTTTGGACATGTTTTCCCCCATAAGAAATGAAATTATCATTTTTAAAAAACTGCATTTTTTTATTTCCTAGGGTTATCTTTGTTTAATATTAACATTTGTTTGGTGATCTGAAACATGCACGAGAGACAAAAATGCAAAACAATAAGAAATCAGGAAGGTAGGCTTTGTACCAAGCTGCTTGTGCAAAATAGGAATTCTTACTGTCTATTACAAGAAGACTCCACATGAAGTATGGTACTACAGGAAAGCTCGCTGCCTCCCTCCTCACAGGCTGTCTGTGTTCACAGCTTGACATTTAATACAGATCCAAATCATCACACACAGTGAGGCTCATTGTCCACATCTGCACAAAGAAAACGAAGATAGAGTTGCAATTATATCGCTTACGGTCTCGAATTGAATTAGATTTTTTTTGTATAATGTTCTGTGTAATATCCTACACAAGTCTTAAACTAGGAAGCTGAAAATATTTCCAGAAAAGAGGCTTCAAAGGTTAAGAGCACAGCGAGACACAGAAACCAATCACATAAAATTAATTTGATCAAACAAAAGCAATTTTAAGAAATTATAGTTGTTTTCAGACTAAAGTTTTTTAGTAGTAGTATTTATTTATTGTCATTGTCAAGAACAATGAAATTGCGTTTGGGGCTTCCATACAACCCAAAAAAAGAAGAAAATAATAAATACCCCTTAAAACCCAAGTGTACATATTTAACCCAGTGTGACTCCAATGCAATAGACAATCCTTAGCAATAACATGAGAACATGACAAGTAATGTTGGT